GGGGAGGGGAGGGCGGAGGACATACCACTGCCATGAAACGTGGAATCAATGTGGGAATTGCCATCTTGACGGAACCCTCTTTCTCAGCGGCAGACTTCGCAGCTGCTTCTGCAGCTTTCAGAGCTGTCAGTGCTTGATCCCAATTTTGCTCAGCTATGCTGCAAAACAAATTGAAAAAGTTCAAAAAACAGATATCCTTCATCAGCATCGCCAGTGTGACAAGCTCGTCATAAGCACACGACAGGTGTCTTCTCCCGCGAACCACCAACCACTTTGCACTTTACAGCATATCTGTTCGAAAACCAGCATCCGTCCAGGAGATGCCCACACCACAAAGGCCACAAACCTTCCCTTCCACCATTCGCAGCTGGAGTTGCCCACTTCCTTACTCTGCATTAGCATTTCCTGCAGAGTTTTTTCTGTGCTAAACTCCTGGACGAACGAGGAGGGGGGAGGGGGAGGGGGGGGGAAGAACTTTCAGGTTCACAACTTAATGGTTGACTCCTTGCAGCAATTCACACTTCAAACACTTTCACATTTGCCTGTGATCAGATCATCGCCATCATTGTCCTCCTGCACAACTCCCCCCCCGCCCCCCCCCTCCTCGTTCTGCAGCTCTTAGTTGAACTACCTGTCATCACCACTACAATACCACCAATCACATCATCCCGACCGCATCATCACTGTTCCTCCCATTACCACCAGCGGCAGCGTCATCGTCATCATCGTCATCAGATTCATCACCATCATCACCATCATCAACATCATCAACATCATCACCATCATCACCATCATCACCATCATCCTCACCATTATCACATCCTCATCCTCATCATCCTCATCATCCTCGTCATCATCGCCATCTGGTTAGCATAGTGATGCTAACCAGATGGTTGGAACAACACTAACCAGCTGTTACCCAGAGAGTTTGCTTTCATCCGACTATCTGGTTACTGTCAGAATGTGCAAAATACCATCATAGAACTGTGCCTATCCTGATGGTTCTCAAGAGGACGATGCACTCCCTTCTGTACCACCATCCATACCACAATTGACCAGATTATGATGATTATCTTAGCTTCTTCTTTTCACCTGAAAAAGGACGACGGCCTTGGAGATATCGACATGAAACTGAGCGGCTCCAGGTAATTCAGCATTTTTTTCGCTATCTGATTCCATCAGGATTCGAACTCATGTCTGTCTATTAACAGTTGATGGGTTTAGCATTCAGCCACATGGGCTGGGTGACCAGCATATCTTGCTAACATCTGTCTGCACCTGCAGGTGTGCATGGTTATCGTGAGCCAGTGCATGGTTATCGTGAACCACTGCATGGTTATCGCGAGCTCAATTTCTTATCCACCACTTGGTTCTTATGCTACAAAGTGGATGATGGTTATCGTGAGCCAACCGATAAGCTTCTAGACCCCAGCTAATACACCCTCAGTAAGCGCAAGGACATAGTGGAGATTTAAATTTACATTACAATTGACGAATCTGCAATAACCCTGTTCAGAAGACGCCTGGGGCCAGAACCCGGCCCCTGGAAACGCAGACCTGAGTTGGTCTGCGCCGGGCTGCGTGACCAAGACAGGCCCGGGCCTGAGTCTGTCGAGCGTGGCTGTGTGACCAAACACTGCACACAGGAAATTCAAGAGTCAAAGTCAACTGTACAGTCAAAGGTACCGAACCCAGGCCCTGGGATGGATACACTCACTTGTTGTGCGCAGGTACCCAGACAAGCATCCAGGCCGAGGGGACTACAGTTTCAGATCAATCCAGGCCTTCATCTTCAACAAGATCTGGACGGCTGGAGTTCGCAGCCGCCGGGGTCCAAACCCCGAGTCAACACTACTTAAGGTTGACTCTCCTGGCTTTGACATTCATTCATTCTGTCTTGCGTTGCTGCTGCCTCTACGCGTTGACGACGCGACGCAGGCTTGACGCTGCGACGCTGGTGACGGTGGCATTGGCGAGATTACGACAACGCGCTGCTGGGTGGTGCGCTGACTGGCTGGCTACTGTCTACAAGGCTTGCTGACGTGGCAGTTGCCACGTGTTGCTATTGACGTGGCTGCTGCCACGTATGACTTCGCCGGGTCTATGTGACCGGCATTGCTGTTCTATTCCATCATCACTTCAGGGAGGTATCAATGCTGTTTCATCGTCACTTCAGGAGGAGATCGGGATTGTGAGGAGGTTATGAATACGTACCTGGGATCTTCATGCTGACATTGCTCCAGCGCTGATGAAGGACTGATTAGGTGCCACGTGGCACATTGTAGAAGAACTTCGACTATGTGTTCAGATTACTGGTTCTGTGAGGTGGCCATTGTGTAGGGAGCCCGGAGAAGGAGGGGGCCGTGTATTCTCCCTCTCCTTTGTCTCATCTCCCTCCTCCCTCTTCGTCTKTGTATGATTATCTCACCTCCTTCTTCCTGGACACTACTCGATTATTGGAAGTATCAGCAACTTGAGATTCTGGACTTGCATTGTTGACAATCGTATTCATGATCTGGGTTCATTGCAATTTGGTATCGGAGCTGTTCTCCTGAACACGGTACTGGTAAGCGCCAGGTGGCGCATAGCTAAGTGTGTGGCTCACACATATTATAGGTGATGATGTGGTTGAAGACATCTTCGGGGATATCTGACGTGGCACAGAGTGACGAGTAGACCTCTCCGGGGATGATGACGTGGATCTGACGTGAAGACTACACCAGGGATACTGAAGCAGCGAAGACCCTACCTAGAGGCTGACGTGGCGGTAGGGATCGTGATGGGAGATACCTCCCTTCAGCCAGGGATCGCGATGCTGACATGACAGTTGGATCGCAGAGCTGACGTGGCATATGACGTGCCACGTCCCGGGACCTTGTTGCTATTGCTTCGGTGGCACTCTTGGAGTTGCTGCTTGCGCCAGGGTCCATTATTGATGCTGACGTGGTCTCGAGTGGGATTGATTGCTGACGTGGCAGACCTCAAGACATCACACCTGTCGATTAAGGTGGTGTCTGTTTGCTGACGTGGCACTGAACTCTTGACTCACGGGGCATTGAATCTGATTGGCTGAAACGGCGACGGTGTCTCATATGAAGTTTGGAAGCTGAGGAAACACACTTGCTGATGTGTCACCCCACTAATGATAGATTGAACGGAGTATGCGCTGACGTGGCAAGATTTGTTGTGTTGGCACTCCGGGGGTGACACGTGGCAGGCAGGACTCTGCTAAGTAAGGAAGGGCACTCGGAGGACTACGGCGGTACGGCTGACAGAGTAATTATACAGCTGTGGTGCCAGCTGTCCGGGAGAGTGCATCATCGCACTAACACTCATGACACAGCAAAGTGATATAGTGTGCTGACAAATTGTTTTGTTGGTATACTCACCTGATGATCGAAGTGGTAAAGTGTGCTGATGAACTGTTTCTGTTTGCTGTTGGCATACTTACCTGTTGATTGCTGTTTGTGGTGTGCGTACTTACTGGTGTGTTGGATCTGATCACACGGGCCTAGCGTAGAACCTGTAAATAGGGCGTCATCACACAGGCAAGAAAAAAAAAGAACAGCAGTTAGGAAAGAAAAATCTGTTTCTTTTTATCGTTTATTTTCTGAATTCCCATTGTGAATATCTTCTCCAAATTGACCTCCAGAATGTTTGGCTGGTTCAAAGTACTCCTGTTTCTCCTTCCTGTGGCTCTGGGTGAAGGAACTTCAGACCCAAAGCCTCGGAGACAGGCAGAGCAGAGAAAACAGGAACTGTTACCATCATGGTCCCAACTGTTAAATGATCTGCGTTTGTCTGGACCGGACGCTGAACAACACGTCCGCAACTTGTTTGATTTGCAGACTGTAGAGAACCATCTGAATCAAGCAGTTGCGGGCGCGGAAGTTGCAGGGGCCGGAATTGAAGTCACAAACATGATTGGCCAGTGCCATCAGGCACTGGACCAGTTCGCAATCAAACAGTTAGAAGTTGTAATGGAAATGACTAGGAAAGGCGAAGTAAAACCGGAAGTAACGGAGGCCACTATTGATGCCAGCATTCAGCAATTGCGTGAGACTTTGGCTGCTGAAGAAAGAAAGAAAGAAGAGTTGGCCAAGAGCAGAGAACAGGAAAAGAGAAAGGAACAAAAGGCTAAAGAAATTAGTCAGGTAATTGGAACAGATGTAAAGGAAGAAGGTGACCTAAAACAGACTTTTTATCACATTATGACTTACCTCTCTTTTCTTGAAGAGAAGATTGACCGGCAGCAAACTCAGCTAGATGAGATTGTTGTTGGATTGAGAACTGTTACCAACATTGTGAAAGGGAAGACTCCGGTAACAGAAGAAGAGACTAAGGTAAAAGAAGATAAAGGAGAAAAGAAAGAGAAGAAATTAATGAGTGATGCTATGAAGTCTGTTGTCCCGAAAGAAAAGACTGAAGAGGAGAAATCGTCTAACGGGGGGGAATCGAGTCCGTCATCTACTCCTCCTTCTTCCCCTCCTCCCACTCCTCCTAACTCTCCACCTCCGAGTTCTCCTAAGGGTAAGAAAACCGCGGAGCCCGAAAAACCCTAGAAGGAGGAGAAAGTGAAAATGAAAATGCCTTTTACATTTTGCAACAAAAAAAATGAAAATTTGTTGCTATGGATTGCCGAGATACAGACATACTACAAGACGTCCCCAGTAGAGCCTGATTCTCATGTTGCGTTTCCACTTCATGTTTGGGTGGGGAAGCAAAAAAATGGGTGCTAGCTGAGGCTAACGCCGCACGGTTCGAGGACATTGGGGAGTGGTCTGGTACGATGAACTTGAAGCAGTTCCTTGCTAAGATCAAGGAACGCTTCCTGGACAAGACGACGATCGATAAGGCCTTTGACCAGCTCACAACCATAGGCCAGCGCCATTGGACCTTTGTGGAGTCTCTGTCACGGGAAGTAGATCGGTTGCTGCAGGTTCCTGGATTGAACCTGCAGGACAACCAAGTCCTCTATATCTATTCCCGCGCTCTGCCCGAGCCTATTCGTGGACAGCTCGTGGAAGACTCGAAATCCGGCAAGTATAATTATAGGCAGTTTCACGATCTGGCTCTCCAACGAGAGCAAATGACTTCACAAGTTAAGAACTCGTATACTTTCGTGGTGAAGTATGGTGGAGGAGGAGGAGGAACGAAT